AGTTATTCCTGTTGAAAGTCCCACATCGCCTACCTCATGTCATTTGGTATGATTTAAATACATGTTAGGCTACTCCACATATAGCCAATTGGTTTTATGTTGGAACATTAACATGGTATCAGAGCCAAAGCCTAACATCTTTCCGGTTATTCTCATGGGCCAAAAGTTTCCCTTTAGTTGGGTCAAAAGTACCCTTTGCCTGGTCCGGCAGGCTTTGTTGGAGAGGATGTGTTGAAAGTCCCACATCGCCTACCTCATGTCATTTGGTATGATTTAAATACATGTTAGGCTACTCCACATATAGCCAATTGGTTTTATGTTGGAACCTTAACAATTCCTAATGGATTTTTATTATTTTTTGAACTTTCTTCTTCAATAGTTTTTTGGGCTATTTGGTGTAATATTTAATTTGTAAAATTTAGCTGACTATGCAAATTTTGAATATCATTTATGTTAGGAGTTTCACTACTATTTCTTTTTTCTCCTATCATTTTGAAGGGTGATGAAATTACTTCCTTATTTTCAATATTAGGAAATCTTACTTCTTCTAGAGGAGGGATTTTACTTATTACTTCTTTATTTTTTGTTTTCCATATTTTTTCAGCATTTTGTAGTACATTAATTTGTAGATTTTCTAAACAGTTTTCTTCAAACCATCTAAAATATGGTATATTTTCTTGAATTAAGTTTAAATGCTCATAATATTTTTCACGGTAGTCTTTTAATTAATTTTGAGTACAAGTTTTGAAAACCATTCTCTTTTTTCTTTATTATTTTCATCTAAAAATTCTTGTCTCAATAGGTCTTTATTTATTTCGAATTTGGTTATTACGTTTATTATACTATCATCTTACTGTATTTTGGAAGCAGATAGAGAATTATGCATTTCTATATTTTCATATTCGTATTCTGGCATTGGGATCGTAGGGTCTTGTTTTATTCCTTTTAATTTTAAACTTCTATGATGTATTAGACTAGATTGGTCTATTGATCTTCTGGCGGTTACAAAAGTAATTCTACTAGATGTTCCTCTTGCTGAATTTATTCTTTTGATTGGGGCAAAGGATACTTCTACTGTCCCTGATTTGTATTCAGTTATATTTTCAACTTCTACTGGTTCTGGTGGTTCTGGTTATAGTAAATCTTCTAGTCTCCAACTAAGACCACTAGATATTTCATTGTGTTCTAAAGTTTTTGGTATTATGGCATTAACCTTTTCTGGATTTACTAATAACATAGTTGTTTCATCTTTTGGAGACATTAATAAGGCTCCTGGGGCTAATTGGGTTTTCATTATCTTATAATAAATTCTGTATATTATTGTTATAGGTATTGATTTTGGATTCCATACATTTTCAGGGATTTTAATGTCTAATAGTATATTATTTTCCGTATTATGAAGACTTTTAAGAGTTATCGAATAATTTGGGTAATTATTTATGTATACTAGTCCATTATGCAAATTGGTTTCAAACATTGCTAATATTTGATATTCAAGTTTTACTAGTCTATTATCTCTTAAAGCAACAAACATAGGTGTATCTATGCCTTTTCTGAAGAGAGGTTTTATTGCTATTTGTATAGATCCTATATGAAGATATCTATATTCTTTTATATGTTCGGCTATTAATGTCTTAGTTATTAATGGTATTTTTTCACGACTTGATAAAAGTTCTATTTCTTTATCCACTGTTTTTACTATATATTCAGATTTAAACATATCTTTCCAATTAGTTTTATAGATTTGATATTTCTAGTTTGGGAACGGTCCATTTATTAAGTTGATTTTCTATTTCTGGGATTATTAATTCATGGTGTACTAGGTTCATATTACTGGTTTCTTCTTTTGTATTCTTATTTTCCTCAAACTTTTCTTTTCCTTTAGATAACAGTTTTATTAATTTCGCCATCCTAAGGCCAAGGTCTAAGATGTTCGGGAACACCACAGGATTTATTGCCAATTACTGGACTTATAACCTAAACCGGCTTACCAACGCTCATCTACCCTCAAAGACTCCTAGGTAAGGTTTAATTAATAAAAAAATTTCTATTAGAAAAGTTAAGTTTTCAGAAAATAAAAATTTAGAGAGAATAAACAGTTATATGAACAAAGTACGTGGCTTTGTTAATTCACAATAAATCATCAGGATTTGAACCTGACAAAGGTGATCTGGAATGGTCTATTACGCTTCAAGCAACCCAATCGGGAAGACTTAAATATCCAGTTTTCCAGCCTATATATACTTTAAAGCAATTTTTTTATGTGGAGGATCGGCCTAAACCGCGACCACATTGCATATTTATTTCAAACAAACGGATATTATCAGCAGCAAAATTGTTTTTCTTTGACTTTAATACCATTTATGACACCGAGTGCATAATAAGAAGGGGAAGAGAAGAAAAGAAGTAGAGATATTCTTTGCAAATATATATATAATATTATTATTCGTACCATCTTATATTTTATTATGTTCTTGAGAAATAAAGAATATAAATCTATTTAAAAATATTAAATTTTTTTAGAAAGAATTACGTAACTCTTATCATTATAGGGGAAAATAAATATTTAAAAACACTAGTGCAAAAATGACATTTTACGTCACCCAATTGTCGTCGCATGTCAAAATATTCGACGTAAATAAAACGCAGTGGTAATTTTGTAAATAAGAGGTGAAACTTTTACGTCGCATATTGTAGGAGGTGACGTTAAAAACTTCTTTTATGTCGCACCTGGTACAACGCGACGTAAAAGAGAGCTTTTTAAGTCACGTGGGGGGTGCGCGACATAAAAAGTATCACTTTTTACGTCACATGGGGGGTGCGCGATGTAAAATGTTATACTTTTTACGTCACGTGGGGGTGCGCAACGTAAAAAATATCATTTTTTACGTCACATGGGGGTGCGTGACATAAAAAGTGAATATTTTTACATCACATGGGGGTGCGCGACGTAAAAAGCACTTTTTACGTCGTGCACCCCCCATGTGACGTAAAAAGTATCACTTTTTACGTTGCGCACCCCCACGCGACGTAAAAGAAGCTTTTTACGTCACGTACTAGGGTGTGCGACGTAAAAGTTCTTTTTATTCTCTTCCATACCCACTCCCGCATCTCGTGCCGCAAGGGTTTTTTAGAACGACAATGAGAACGACAACGATAGCTACCTTTCCACACCATTTTCGATCATTTTGGCAGTGAAGAACATCAACATTGTGTCTCATTTTACGAATTTGACATTTCTCCCCGATTGGCTTCGAGTTTGAAATCGTTTTCGTGTTTACTCGAGGTTAGTGTTCTATGTCTCCTGATATATGTTCAAATTGAATCCGTGATTGTTTTTGGGGATCTCAATCACATCATTGTATGAATGTCTCCACTGGATTGTTATTGGAATGTCATTATTTTGGTTGAGTGCATTTTCGGTTTACACACTCCATATACGTGCTTTATTGTTTGTATATTAATTTATTTTTAAATATAAATTTTGAATCTCTAGGAGTGACGAAACTTTATAACATAATATTAATCGAAGTTGGATGAATGCACGTCGTATTAGTGAAGAGTACGAAAAGGGAGTTGATGAATTTTTGAAATTTGGTAGTGAAAATGGAAAAGGTATTGAATAATATATGGCTTTTTTTCATTTAGAATCGTGTCTATAACTAATGTTCTAAGTGAAAAACCCAGAACAAAGACTTTGCAGTTCATTTATCCTAAGATTAGAAACTTATTATAATAAGTGAGTACCATAATTATTGTTTGTATTTAAATTTTGAAAATAACATTATATTTTATTCATCATTTCGGTGTAATAAGCAAACGAGACTCATTTGAATGTGGTTACTATGTTATGTATTGGATGAGAGCCATAGTTTGTGCGGGTATAACTGATTCTTGGACGGAGGTAATTGTTTTCAGCATTAGTTAAGTTTATTTAACTTTATGTGTGTTGCATGTTTACAAGAGTCAAATTAATGTTTCGGGTATTTCAAGATCCATCTCCATTGCCGGAATATGATATCACACAAATTAGAGAATAATGAGCAAGGTTTTTCGTTCAACAATTCTAGTACATAATTTTTTAAGTTCTTGTTCATATTATATTATGTGTATTATGTAGTTTAGGTAGCTTAGTTTGTATTAACTTTTAGTTTGTAATAGATTTTTTAGTTTGTATGTTTGTATTATATTGTTTTATTATGTAGTTTGAATTATATAATATTATATTTTTAATTTACTAGCTAAAGAAAATTGAACCTCCGAACTGTCTGGTTGTAATATATATTTGCGGGTTTTAGTTGTAAAACGAGAATCAACCCAATTAAAAAAAACAACAAATTTACGTCGCATATACCAATACGCGACGTAAATTTACGTCACATATACCATATGCGACGTAAATTTGTCGTTTTTTTTTAATTTCGAAAGTTTTTACGTCTGTTTAGTGGTATATGTAACGCAAAATTACGTCGGGTCTTGATAACTTACGTAAATTTACGTCGGGCTAAAGGATCCAACGTAAATTTACGTCTCCCATTTTAACGTCAGTTTTAAATACGACGTAAAAAGCCCTAAATACCTGACGTAAAAGCCCCTTTTTGCACTAGTGAAAAATGATATTTGTTTCGTATATTTTAACTAAATATAATTGTCAATGAACATTATAGATGTTAATATCTTTTTTACGCTGACTTTGGAATGTAAATCTGGTTTGAAATATTATTTTCTAAAAAAAGATTATATATATATATATATATATATATATATATATATATATATATATATATATATATATATATATATATATATATATATATATTTCGACGATTCCAATTATTTTAAACGTTGTATATCTACGTCGTCTTGATGTATTGCTGGAGGAAAAAACAGCCAAAAATAAAACACCACCACCCCATATTTGTCCCCTCTGTGACAGGAACCCCGTGCACCACTACATGCTGCCTCCTCTGCAAGTAACCTTACGCGACCACCACCAACCTATGTTGTGCCTCCGCTGCGAAGAAGAAGTGGGTTGCGATTCCATCTTTGTGACCACCACCAGCCTGCGTCACGCCTCCACTGGGACAAGGAAGCGGATCAGGTTTTCCATCTCTGCAATTGCGTGCCACCACCTCCGTCCAACGATGGTGTCGGTGCTTGCGACGACAACCTTCTTCCTCACCCTCATCTCTCTATTCGGTGTGGGGCTAATCCTTCATTTCCATATTGCATTGGCTTAATGGGAATGAGATTATGGTTTGGTTAAGCTAGTGGGCTTCTGATAGTTTATTGGCTCGTTAGGTTTATTTCAATTTGGGGTCCAAATAGTAAAACCTAGTTTTAAAATAGAAAAATGGGTTTGAAACATATATTTTTATTATGAATTATTGAACCTAATGAATTTTGTACTCGAGATTAACATAGTAAAAATAAGTTTTTTGGGTTCGAAAGGATTTTATTTTTCTTCAATTATGATCTAAACTTTTAGAATAATTCAAGTTAGTAGATCTCTTAGAAAATACAATAAAATAAAAATTAGATTTTAATAATTATTATAATATCTTTTCAAATATTAAAATAGGTTTTTTAGGTAATATATAAATGACATAATCATTATTATTTAAGGTAAAATTGAATATGTAATATATTTTATTACTTAAAATTGTAACAAATATTTTAGTAATTATATTTTTTTTAATAACTACTTTAGATGTATTAATAATAATTTGGTTATCATAAATTTATAAAAATTAATAATCACTTAAAAAAACACTCTTTATTTAATTATAATAAAATACTTATTTTAAAATATTTAAATCTTCATGATGACAATAATACATAATTTAAAAATTTAAAAATAATTAAATATTAATAATAATTATTTTAGATACATTTCTAATTTCATTATTACTTAAGTTATAAAAAATAATAACTAATTTATTTGTATTTCTAATTTCATTATTATATAATTATTAATAAACCATTGGATACACCTTTAATTTAGTTATTAAAAAGTTTAAAAAACACAAAATAAACTAAAATAAATTCTTCACAAATATTTTCTACCAAAATAGTTATATTATTCTAATTTATCATTATACAGAAGATACGTAATAGCAGAAATATAATCTTTGTTAAAAATTAAGATATATTATCTTTTATTTTTAATAATATTTAATTTTAAAAAAATTGTAGATATATAATAAAACAAAATTTTAGTTAATTTTGAGGGATAAAATAGATAATTTTTAAGATATTTAATTTTTTACATTTAATCAAATTGATGTTATAGAGTTGTAATATCTGGACTATCAAATCCAATTTTTGTTTTGTATATAAGTTTTTTTTCTTTTAAGGTTTTTTTTTTCAATATTTTTATTAAAATAAATATTATTGGTGACTATTTTTTATTTATTTTATATGTATATTCTCACCACTTCTTCATGATTTTGGTTGCTACAGCCACCTTGACCTCCAACTATGCCATCTGTCTTCTCTAGGCTTTCCTAACCTCTTGCTCAACAGTTGCAGCCAAACTCTTTGCTTTTTCGGCTATATCAATTAAAGACATGTTTTGAAGCACAAAATTTGGTTTTCATCGACTTTGGCACAAAGAGTCGCTTCATGATTAAAAATGATGGCTAGGAATTCATCTTTTTGTCATGTCATAAATGGTTTTCTTTCATAAATGTAGTATAGATACACATCGTCCCAACATCACCTCGACTGACACTAGTGCAAAAAGGGACTTTTACGTTAGGTATTTAGGGTTTTTTACGTCGTATTTAAGTCTGACGTTAAAATGGGAGACGTAAATTTACGTCGGACCCTTTAGCCCGACGTAGATTTATGTCAGTTATCAAGACCCGACGTAATTTTGCGTGACATATACCACTAAATAGACGTAAAAACTTTCGAAAAAAAAAACAGCAAATTTACGTCGCATATGGAATATACGACGTAAATTTACGTCGCATATACCAATACACGACCTAAATTTACATCGCATATGCCATATGCGACGTAAATTTGCTGTTTTTTTTTTAAATTGTGTTTATTTATTCTGTTTTACAACTAAAACCTGTAAATATTACAACCAGACAGATCCAGAGGTTCGATTTTCTTTAACTAGTAAATTAAAAATATAATATTATATAATTCAAACTACATAATAAAACAATATAATACAAACATACAAACTAAAAAATCTATTACAAACTAAAAGTTAATACAAACTAAGCTACCTAAACTACATAATACACACAATATAATATGAACAAGAACTTAAAAAATTATGTACTAGAATTGTTGAACAAAAAATTTTGCCCATTGTTCTCTAATTTGTGTAATATCGGATTCTAGTAATGGAGATGGATCTTGAAATACCTGAAACATGAATTTGACTCTTGTAAACATGCAACATGAATAAAGTTAAATAAACTTAACTAATGTTAAAAGTAATTACCTCAGTCCAATAATCAATTAAACCCGCACAAATTATGGCTCTCATCCAATACATTACATAGTAACCACATTCAAACGAGTCTGTTTGCTTATTACACTTGAAATGATGAAAAAAACATAATATTATTTTCAAAATTTAAATACAAACAATTATTATGGTATTCACTTATATAAATAAGTTTCTAACCTTAGGATAAATGAGCTGCAAAGTCTTTGTTCTAGGTTTTCCACTTAGAACATTAGTTCCATAAACGATTCTAAGTGAAAAAAAGTCATATATTATTCAATATGTATTCACAATTTAAAAATATAATTAATGAATAAAAGATAAAGTTACCCTTGTAATAAGCTTTTCATTTCTTGACTCGGTTTCCGATGTAATGAACAAAACCACACCACGAGTGTAATCCAGGGGCATGATTACAATTAGCTGCCAATGGGACCTACATTGTATGACATAAAAATTAGTTACAAAAATATAAATTAAAATACAAATTAAAATACTAACCCTTCAATGTATGGAGCCAAATATATATGTCTTTTTGAGTCACTCATCCATGTTTGCATATATTGTTGGATTCCAACCTTTGTATTTCAGATTTTTGGATGGATTGAGGCTCAAGAAATCAGTATACTTCGGATTTTTCTTGTTCCACACTCAATTTGTCAAGGTACCTAAAACAATTAATTATAAGTTGAATATAATTATTATAATCTTAGAAACATAAATGAGAATGACTTACATTGCCCACAATGGAAATGTTTAACATGCAATTTCCCCAGACAATTTCTAAAGCATCGGGCAAGGAAATGTATAATGGAACACTAGAATTGTCAATTCCAAACACTCTAACATCCCATTGTATCGACACGGTCTCTTCCTCAACAGTGGTAATATGGTCAACAACATAGAGATGGGATCATCATCACATTACGTCAGATCCTCATCAATAATAGGTTGTTTTTTATGCTTAGCACGACGCAAGTCCTCCTAAACAAATGATAACAATTAATTAAACATTTATATAATTATAATACTAGAAAAGAGAAAATAGACAATATATATATATATATATATATATATATATATATATATTACCTTGGTGCATGTCGATAGTGGCATAACTAAACGTCTTGGCCAAGCCAAGAATGTCCCGCTTTCTGCCCCACTAATTGAATCTCTTCATTAGGAAAAGGCACTTGGAGCATTAGCATCATGAACTTCATCAACTACTACTCCTGTCCGGTCTCGCTGTAGAGGGACACCATGAATGGTTAAGCCACCCTCAAAAACTCGACCAATAGCCACTAGACGCGGGGGTCATCTTCAACATATAACTCACAGCTGGTGTGATGCATCGATCCGAGTATATTCTCCTGAAGGATCAACAGCGGTAGCAGCACAACTCCCTTTAGTGCTGACTCGAACAACATCATGTTCAATTGTTTGAGGTGTTCCTTGAGTCGCATTGCTTGAGAGCGGGCGAGAGATTCAATTTTCTCATCAAACTCTTCGCTGCAAGGAATGCCTTATTTGATTTAACTTTTCTTCAAACTGCATCTCCATTTTATGCAAGGCCTCCTGGCTGCAAGAGTCAGCGAGTGGTCCTTCGTGATGTTGGACCAAAGTAATCACGAAGGCCCCGGGTTCCACTAGCACCACGCACACGTCTCGAGTAATCCGGTTTTCCTATGGTCGTTGCCAATATATCTTGTCGACCATGAGGAATAAATGATCCTTGGCTGAGTGCCGCTCAACTAAATCATCCTACAACACATTAACAATAATTAAGTCATACACTAACTTTCACATTAGAATCAATTCAAATTGACATTATAACTTACAATTTTCGAGAAATGATTCGTGCGGACTCGAAGTCATTTGTCCATCGAGATTTTGTCAGGGCTGCCTTCCACATCGATAGCGAGGGGTGGAGATGCAAGGTCGGTAGAATCAACTCCTGCCGACTCTTCTCTGGATTTCATGAGACGTTGCTCCAATAATGCATACCCTCCTCGTGACAATACATGGGGTGCATCATTCAACCTCGACGTTGTTGGGCAACACGTCTTTTATCCTGCCAAGAGGGGTCCATTCGGCTGGCACAAAGCGTAACCAATCCTCCTCACTAATTTGATACTTTAGACAGGGAGATTCATCTTGAAACTTTCCAAATATATACTCCAGTGTCAAGAAAGTCTTAAAGTCCCTCCATCTAATGGCAATGGAGGATAAAATCTTCTTCCTCATCACCTCGGTGTTAGGAACATCAAAATTTCTTTGTGAAATGACCAGATAAATGTTAAATTCAATTAATAATGATATATAAAGTATTCAACAAAAATAGAGATACTCGAACATCACTGCCACATGAGGTTCTTCTCGGTTTCCTCTACATCATCCCAAGATGGAGTAGTAATCGAAACATGGTGTCGAGCTAGTAGTCCCAAATAGCTCTTAAACTTAGCGACATTTGGGTCGGATGCCTTACCGAACGTGGATCAACTTCAACTTGAGTTTTCTCTCTAGCTACCCTCCTTCTTTGTCAACCCCTTTAACAGAGTGACGGATCTACCTTTATCACCACTTCAGCTCACCTGCCACTACCACTACCGAGTACCAGTTGTGGAATCAGACATATCTCGAAAAACAATATGAAGTCAACATACTTTATAAGTTTGAATAAAAAGAACTAGAAAATGTGAAGATAAACACCTATTATGTTGGTATGTTTTCCCATATCCCTTCATCATGATCACTTCGAATTGCATGTATGTCATCAACTTCATTGTCAACTATGTCATCAAATGGTCTACTTGAAAATGAAGGTGTTTCA